GTTCAATTCCATTGTTAGTGGAATTCAGAATGCTTTGTAGGTGAACTATAAATCCCAGGAACTACAACTCCCAAATGTCAAGGTCTATTTTCCCTAAACTCCATCAGCATTCACATTTGGACATATTGAGTATTCGGGCTAAGCTTGGTCCAGATCCATAGAGCTCTATTGAGGTAAGTGAACTACAACTCCAAAACTCAAAATCATGCCTACCAAACCCTTCCAGTATTTTCTGTTGGTCATGGGAGTTCTGTGTGCCAAGTTTGGTTCAAATTCCATCGTTGGTGGAGCTCAGAATGCTCTTTGATTGTACATGAACTATAAATCCCAGCAACTACAAATCCCCAATGTCAAGGTCTATTTTCCCCAAACTCCTCCAGTGTTGACATTTGGGCATATTGAGTATTCGTGCTAAGCTTGGTCCAGATCCATCCTTGTTTAAGTCCACAGTGCTCTCGGGATGTAGGTGAACTACAACTCCAAAACTCAAGATCAATGTCCACCAAAGCCTTCCAGTATTTTCTGTACGTCATGGGAGTTCTGCGTGCCAAGTTTGTTTCAATTCCATAGTTGGTGGAGTTCAGAATGCTCTTTGGTTGTAGGGGAACTATAAATCCCAGCAACTACAACTCCCAAGTGACAAAAATCAATCCATCCCAAACCTACCAATATTCAAATTTGGGCATATCGGGTATTTGTGCCAAATTTGGTCCAGTGAATGAAAATACATCTTGCATATCTGATATTTACATTATGATTCGTAACAGTAGCAAAATTACATTTATGAAGTAGCAACGAAAACAATGTTATGGTTGGGGGTCACCACAACATGAGGAACTGTATTAAGGGGTCGCGGCATTAGGAAGGATGAGAAACACTGATATATAGGCTATAATGCAAAGGAAGAAACCAGTTGAAGGCACACAACAACAAAAGAGAAATATGTGCAGCTTTAACGGGAAATTAGAAAAGAAAACCCCATAAAGGAATCCCGTGCTGAGTTCTGGATTTTGTATTGCCACTGAACTTAGTAACATGCCAAATCAACTATGAATGAGTAACTGACAGCCCTAAAACCTAATGCACCATCACAATGTGCCAATTACAACATCGCCTTGTTTTCCTTGGGTTTCTCTTTCCCTAAGTAAACTACTGCCGTGTCTTCAAAGCAAATTCGATCCATCTGACCCTGACCTTCCCTTTACTTTGAGTACAAACCATTCCTGAACAACGTATAGCGGATTAGTTAATAATTACGCCTCTTTCCATAAGAGAAACACAAATCCTGCTTGCTTCAGATGTTGAGCAAACACGACGGAGGACGTTTGCCTTATCGCACAGGCTTTGGACAGATAGACGCCCAGATTTTCTTTGTTGCCAAAACTGCCCATGCTGCGTTTTGTTCTCCCCTCTGCCCCACTTGGCAGGGCTTTCAGAAAAGTGGGTGAGAAGTCAAAGGAACGTCTATACTATACCACTGTTTGGCTGGGTTTCTTTAACCCTATAATATGAAATAACTGGGTTGACAATGAAAAGTATAGACAGAAGAACGGTGGGATCATAGAATCATAGAGTTGGAAGAGACCTCATGGCCATCCAGTCCAACCCCATTCTGTCAAGAAGCAGGAAAATTGCATTCAAAGCATTCCCGCCAGATGGCCATCCAGCCTCTGTTTAAAAGCCTCCAAAGAAGGAGCGTCCACCACACTCCAGGGCAGAGAGTTCCACTGCTGAACAGCTCTCCTTACCATTAGGAAGTTCTTAGAATCATAGAATCAAAGAGTTGGAAGAGACCTCATGGCCAACCAGTCCAACTCCCTGCCAAGAAGCAGGAAAATTGCATTCAAACCACCCCTGACAGATGGCCATCCAGCCTTTTTAAAAGCCTCCAAAGAAGGAGCCTCCACCACACTCTGGGGCAAGGAGTTCCACTGCTGAACAGCTCTCTTTACAGTCAGGAAGTTATTCCTCATGTTCAGGTGGAATCTCCTTTCTTGTATTTTGAAGCCATTGTTCCTCGTCCTAGTCTCCAGGGCAGCGGAAAACAAGCCTCCTCCCTCCTCCCTATGAGTTTCCCTCACATCTTCATCCATGTCCCTCCCTTTACTTTGCATACAAACCATTCCTGAACAACGTATAGCAGATTAGTTAATAATTATGTCTCTTTCCCTCACATCTTCATCCATGGCCCTTATCAGGTTTCCTCTCAGCCTTCTCTTCTTCAGGCTAAACATGCCCAGCTCTTTAAGCTGCTCCTCATTGAGCTTGTTCTCTAGACCCTTGATCATTTTAGTCACCCTCCCCTGGACACATTGTCAACATCTCCCTTCAATTGCGGTGCCTGGAATTGGACACAATGTGATTCCAGGTAAAGTGGCCTGACAAAGGCAGAATAGAGGGGTAGCATAACATCCCTGGATCTATGCACAAGACTCCTATTTATGCAGTCCAAAATCCGTTTGGCTTTTTTTGCATCCTCAGAGGATGCTTGCCATAGATGCAGGTGAAATGTCAGGAGAGAATGCTTCTAGAACATGGCCATATAGCCTGAAAAACCTACAACAACCCAGTAAAAGTAAAGTTGTTTCCCTTTTGCTTTTCACTCCACATAAGTGGCTATTGCTAAGGTGTTCTTCCTGAACTTGGCTTTATGAACATCTCTACCAAATCAACCTCTTTTTTGTTTGACTCATTCAACTGATCTAAACAATCTGATGAAGTGTTTGCTTGCTTGAAAGCTTGCTAAACCTTTTGCACAATTTTTGCTTCGCATAATTAAGAGTGCTGCCCTAATGCAGACTTTGGAGTTTGTCCTGTTGGCCAATCAAGTTATGTTCCATTATCAGCACTGGTCTCTACCTGGATAAACAGCTAAGCAAGGCCTAATAGTTGGCTTTTTTCCAAGGCTGGTTTTGCAAATCCCATTGTGGTTCTGTTATTTCTAAGTCATTGGAATTTGGGGGGGGGGGGGGGGGGGGGAGAGGTTTAAAATATGGTATTTACGTTGTAAATGGAGATTCATGGCAGTATTTTCTTCTTTCTCCAACTTCAGGGATGAATCATACTTACTCCAGATGGGAGGGATAGCCAATACTCCAGAAGACAGGAGCAGAATTCAAAACAATCTTAACCGAGAGATGATTGGCCAAAACAAACAAAATGAAGTTCAACAGGGACAAATGCAAGAGTACTCCACTTAGGCAGAAAAAATGAAATGCAAAGATACAGAATGGGGGATGCCTGGCTTGAAAGCAGTATGTGTGAAAAAGAACTTGGGAGAACTCGTGGAGAGGAAGGTGAAAATGAGCCAACGTCATGCGACGGCAAAAATATCCAGTGGTATTTTGGCCTGCATACATAGGAGTCTAGTGCTTAGATCCAGGGAAGTCATGCTAACCCTCTATTCTACCTTGGTCAGACCACACCTGGAATATTGTGGCCAATTCTGGACACCACAATTGAAGGGAGATGTTGACAAGCTGGAATGCATCCAGAGGAGGGTTACTAAAATGATCAAGAGTCTGGAGAACAAGCCCTATGAGGAGCGGCTTCAAGAGCTGGGCATATTTAGCCTACAGAAGAGAAGACTGAGAGGAGACATGATGAGGGCCATGTATAAATATGTGAGGGGAATTCATAGGGAGGAAGGACCAATTTTGATTTCTGGTACCCTGGAGACTAGGGCACAGTACAATGGCTTCAAACTACAGGAAAGAAAGGAGATTCCACCTGACCATGAGGAAGAACTTCCTGACTGTGAGGGCTGTTCAGCCGTGGAACTCTCTTCCCCAGAGTGTGGTGGAGGCTCCTTCTTTGGGGGCTTTTAAGCAGAGGCTGGATGGCCACCTGGCGAGGGTGTTTTGAATGCGATTGTCCTGCTTCTTGGCAGAATGAACTTGGACTGGATGCCCCACGAGGACTCTTCCAATTCTATGATTTCATGACATCACTGGACACTGAGAAAAACAGACAACTATCTAAAGCCTAATATAAATCCAGTTTCACCTCCCAACTGATTAGTGTAAATACTCAAATGTAAATGAGGTGTCGGAATTCAAAACATATTTGAAGACCTATCTCTTCCGGCAGGCCCATACGGCCAGTTCTAATCACAAATTTTAAACCTGTGTCTTATGTTTCTGCGTATTTTAATATGTACCTTGGAGAAATATCCTTTACTATGTGTATCAGCCATTGGTTGAGGTTCTGGGTTTGAGGCTGCCACTTTTGGACTCTCACTTGCTACAGAGACACTCGCTGAAACACCTTAGCAAGCGAGAGTCCCAAAGTGGCAGGCTCAAACCCAGAACCTCAACCAATGGCTGATACCAAATGAGAGACTCCCTCCTGGGCACACAGAAATCTGGGCGACTTGGAAGGCGCTGAACAGACTGCGCTCTGGCACCATGAGATGCAGAGCCAACCTTCAGAAATTGGGCCACAAAGTGGAATCCATGACATGCGAGTGTGGAGAAGGGCAAACCACTGACCATCTGCTGCAATGCACCCTGAGCCCTGCCACATGCACAATGGAGGACCTTCTTGCGGCAACACCAGAGGCACTCCAAGTGGCCAGATACTGGTCAAAGGACATTTAACCAGCTACCAAGCTTGCAAATTTTGTGTTTTGTCTGTCTGTTTGTTTTGTTCTGTTAGAAATGTAATACAATTGACTGGTTGCCCTGACACGACAAATAATTATGTGTATTTTATACAATGCTTTGAGATTATTAAGTGTTTTTAGCGATGCGGTAATGCATCTCAAGCCACAAGGAGAGGAGATAAGAAATGTTGTTGTTGTTGTTGTTGTTGTTGTTCCACTCTCCATAGATTGACCTTTTGATTCAAAATCCATAAGATTTAGGGCCCAAACCTGCCTTCGACTTAGATGTTGACTGATACATGGGATTGATGGTAGATATATTTTCTGTCTACATGTACACACATAACATAGATGTTTTGATAGATGTGAAAGACAAGCTTGAGAAATGATATTTTACCCAGGCACTTCTTCTTCACCCGCTCCAGTTCGTTCTCCCTTCTTGCCGAGAGGGCGAGCGGCGACCCAATCTTGGCAAGCTGGTAAGACAGCTCTTCTCCGATGCCGCTGGATGCACCAGTCACCCAGACCACCTTCCCAGGGAGCACCTTCTCTGTTGGGAGATGGGAAACAAGAACCAGTTAAAGCAATCTGTTTTCAAAGGCAATTTGTGTGTACAAATCTCGGAACACTTTGTGGCTGGTTTTACAGTAGGACCCTAAGTTGCAGGACCACCACAACCTGAGCAAAAAGTCTCTCTAGAAGTCTAGGAAGCCCAAAATTCTCCAGCAAGACCCTGGAAACTGACCATAAGAGTGGCCATGGAGGACCTACCAATGCCTAGAAATATCTAGACATCATGATGATGATGATTATGTTGTCGAAAACTTTCATGGTCGAAATCACTGGGCTGCTGTGAAATTTCCAGGCTGTCTGGCCATGTTGCAGAAGCATTCTCTCCTGACATTTCGCCTGGATCTATGGCAGGCATCCTCAGAGGTTGTGAGGTCTGTTGGAGATTAGACAAGTAAAGTTTATATATCTGGGGAATGTCCATGATGGGAGGAAGAACTCCTGTCTGCTTGAGGCAAGTGTGAATGTTGCTATTGATGAGCTAAACACACCCTGATTAGCACTAAATAGCCTTGCAGCTTCAAAGCCTAGTTGCTTCCTGCCTGGGGGAATCTTTTGTTGGTCAAAGTGGCCAATTGCAACATTCACATTTGCCTCCAACAGACAAGAGTTCTTTCTCCCACCCTAGACATATTTCAAAGATATATAAACCTTGCAGCTTCAAAGCCTGGCTGCTTCCTGCCTGGGGGAACCTTTTGTTTGTCAAGGTGGCCAATTGCAACATTCAAGGTGGCCAATTGCAACATTCAAGGTGGCCAACTGCAACATTCACATTAGCCTCCAACAGACAAGAGTTCTTTCTCCCACCCTGGACATTATTCCACAGATACATAAACCTCACACCCTGATTACCACTAAATAGCCTTTGCAGCTTCAAAGCCTGGCTGCTTCCTGCTTGGGGGAATCTTTTGTTGGTCAAGGTGGCGAACTGCAACATTCACATGTGCCTCCAACAGACAGCAGTTCTTTCTCCCACCCTGGACATTATTCCAAAAATATATACACCTCACATCCTGATTACCACTAAATAGCCTTTGCAGCTTCAAAGCCTGGCTGCTTCCTGCCTGAGGGAATCTTTTGTTGGTCAAGGTGGCCAATTGCAACATTCACATTAGCCTCCCACAAACAAGAGTTCTTTCTCCCATCCTGGACAGTATCCCACAGATATATAAACCTCACACCCTGATTACCACTAAATAGCCTTTGCAGCTTCAAAGCCTGGCTGCTTCCTGCCTGGGGGAATCTTTTGTTGGTCAAGGTGGCCAACTGCAACATTCACATGTGCCTCCAACAGACAAGAGTTCTTTCTCCCACCCTGGACATTATTCCACAGATATATAAACCTCACTTGCCTAGTTTCCAACAGAAGATGCCTGCCATAGATGTGGGCAAAACTTCAGGAGAGAATGCTTCTGGTACATGCCTATACAGCCCGGAAAACTCACAGCAACCCATTATTATTATTATTATTATTATTATTATTATTATTATTATTATTATTTAGTAAAGGTAAAGGTTCTCCCCTGACATTAAGTCTAGTCGTGTCCAAATCTGGGAGGTGGCTCTCATCTCCATCTTTCTAAGCCAAAGAGCTGGCGTTGTCCAGAGACGCCTCCAAGGTCATATGGCCAGCATGACTACATGGAGTGCTGTTACCAATTTTAATGAGTCTTTCTTGTAATCATTACATGTAGCCCGCCCACTGTCATTGTGATTGTGTTATTGTAATTTTATATTGTTACTTATTCACATGTTTTGTGTAATTATGATGTTGTGCTTTGTTTGCGTTTTCGATTTGCGTTTTCGGTCGTATTTTGTTGTTTGGGCTTGGCCTCATGTAAGCCGTTCCGAGACCCCATTGGGGAGATGATGGCGGGGTATAAATAAAGATTATAAGTTTATTATTGCCTTCCCGCAGAAGCGGTACCTATTGATCTACTCACATTTGCATATTTTTGAACTGAAAGGTTGGCAGAAGCTGGGGCTAACAGCTGGAGCTCACCCCGCTCCTCTGATTCAAACTGCCAACTTTTGGGTTAGCAAGTTCAGCAGCTCAGCTCCTTATTATTATTTACAGCCCACTTTATCTCTCCCAAAAGAGACTCAAAGAGGCTTAACATAAAAGCATTAGCCTACAATTAAAAATATGCAAATATGCAAACATTAAAATAGGATTAAACGTAAACAATATTGAAAAAAATCCCAGTTAAAAACCATTAAAACCTATCCAAAGCTAAAAAAAACACATATTAATCAATTCTGCAGAAGTTAAACCCACAAAGGTGAAAGATCAGCTGTATTTACGCAACGGACGACATGCAATGACTCTTTTTAGACTGGTTAATAATTGCACAAAACCAACAAAGAATTTTGAGGCATCTTCAAAGAAAAAATAGCACATTTATTGTAGCATAAAATTCCAGGACAGTAAAATTATTACGAGTTTACTACTTTTTAAATCCACCTTAGTGTTTTGATGTTTCAAGGGCAAAGCATAGCTCATTAGACAAGAAAAAGAAAGCAAACTTCAGTCTATACACAAGTGAATGGTGCGGGATTGCTTCATGTTTACCTCCGAAATTCAACTGTTAACTTTAACTGTGTTTTGCGCAAACTGGGCTCTCACAGGACTTTGTTGTGTAAAAAGAAACACAAAGATTTCTGTGGTCACTGTGTTTCCAGAAATTATAGACAACAAGGGAAAGCAAAGAATCATTGCTGAATGAGTACAATATCTTATAGAGCAGGCAATGGCAAACTTTGGCCCTCCAGGTGTTTTGGACTTCAACTCCCACAATGCCTAACAGCCGGTAGGCTGTTAGGCATTGTGGGAGTTGAAGTCCAAAACACCTGGAGGGCCAAAGTTTGCCATTGCCTGCTTTAGACTATCCTCCTTTTCATGGCTGGAGTCACTGGGTTGTTGTAGGTTTTTTGGGCTATATGGCCATGTTCTAGAAGCATTCTCTCCTGACGTTTCACCTGCATCTATGGCAAGCATCCTCAGAGGTTGTGAAGTCTGTTAGAAACTAGGAAAATTGGGTTTATATATCTGTGGAATAATGTCCACGGTGGGAGAAAGAACTCTTGTGTGTTGGAGCTAGGTGTGAATGTTGCAATTGGCCACGGTAATTAGCATTTAATTGCCTGACAGTTTTTAGGTGTGGCTTGTTTCTGACTGAGGGAATCCTTTGTTGAGAGGAGATTAGCTGTCCCTGATTGTTTCTTGTCTGGAGTTCCCCTGTGTTTGAGTTTTGTTCTTTATTTACAGTTATAATTTTAAAGTTTTTAAATACTGGTAACCAGACTTTGTTCATTTTCTGGGTTGTAGTTTTTTTCGGGCTATATGGCCATGTTCTCCAGTTTTCTGCTTCCCTGGAGACTAGGACGCGAAACAATGGCTTCAAACTACAAGAGAGGAGATTCCACCTGAACATGAGGAAGAACTTCCTGACTGTGAGAGCTTCAGCAGTGGAACTCTCTGCCCCGGAGTGTGGTGGAGGCTCCTTCTTTGGAAGCTTTTAAAGAGGCTGGATGGCCATCTGTCAGGGGTGATTTGAATGCAATATTCCTGCTTCTTGGCAGGGGGTTGGACTGGATGGCCCATGAGGTCTCTTCCAACTCTTTGATTCTATGATTCTAAAGGCATTCTCTCCTGACGTTTCACCTGCATCTATGGCAAGCATCCTCAGAGGTAGTGAGGTCTGTTGGAACTAGGAAAATGGGTTTATATATCTGTGGAATGACCAGGGTGGGACAAAAACTCTTGTCTGTTGGAGCTAGGTGTGAATGTTTCAACTGACCACCTTGATTAGCATTTGATGGCCTGGCAGTGCCTGGGCAATCTTTGTTGAGAGGTAATTAGATGTCCCTGATTGTTTCCTCTCTGTTGTTTTGCTGTTGTAATTTTAGAGTTTTTTAATACTGATAGCCAGATCAAATGCTAATCAAGATGGTCAGTTGAAACATTCACACCTAGCTCCAACAGACAAGAGTCCTTTGTCCCACCCTGGTCATTCCACAGATATATAAACCCACTTTCCTAGTTCCAACAGACCTCACTACCTCTGAGGATGCTTGCCATAGATGCAGGCGAAACGTCAGGAGAGAATGCCTCTAGAACATGGCCATATAGCCCGGAAAAACCTACAACAACCCAGTCATTCTGGCCATGAAAGCCTTCGACAATACTTTGTTCATTTTCATTGCTTCTTCCTTTCTGTTGAAATTATCCACATGTTTCTTGTGGATTTCAATGGCTGTAAATAAAGAAAAACACTCAAACACTGGGGAACTCCAGACAAGAAACAATCCGGGACAACTAATCACCTCTCAACAAAGGATTCCCCCAGGCAGTAACAAGCCACACCTAAAATCTGTCAGGCCATCAAATACTAATCAAGGTGGCCAATTGAAACATTCACACCTACGTCCAACAGACAAGAGTTCTTTCTCCCACCCTGGACTTTCCACAGATATATAAACCCAATTTTCCTAGTTTCCAACAAACCTCACAACCTCTGAGGATGCTTGCCATAGATGCAGGTGAAACGTCAGGAGAGAATGCTTCTAGAACATGGCCATATAACCCCAAAAAACCTACAACAACCCAGTGATTCGTGACGGTCAAAGGCTTTCATGGCCTGAATCACTGGGTTGTTGTAGGTTTTTTGGGTTGTATGGCCATGTTCCAGAAGCATTTTCTCCTGATGTTTCAGACCATCAAATGCTAATCAAGGTGGCCAATTGAAACATTCACACCTACGTCCAACAGACAAGAGTTCTTTCTCCCACCCTGGACTTTCCACAGATATATATGTAAACCTTGTTTTCCTAATTTCCAACAGACCTCACAACCTCTGAGGATGCTTGCCATAGATGCAGGCAAAACATCAGGAGAGAATGCTTCTAGAACATGGCCATATAGACCAAAACTACAACATGTTGTTTGCTTCTGCTCTAGAAGCTAGGACATGGAGCAAT